TTTATGTAAAATTTTGGGCTAATTTGGATTTGACTGGAAACTTAATGCAGTAGTGTTGTGTAAAGGGATTCAATTACAGTGTGCGGTGTTTTGTAAGTAACTGTCTCACATAAAAAGTTAATTAATCACAGCTGTGTCAATTTCCTTGTGCCATGTCAATTTGCAGCAAGGTAATTAATCACTAATCGCCCAGCGTGCAGCAAACTAAGGGACAATCCATGAGTCATTTATTGTTATTTTTTTCAGAATAAATGGCACACAGAGCCATGAAGAAACACATCTTGCCTTTCATAGTATTTTTATCGACAGTTTTGCATGTTGTAATAGACTGCAGCAACAAGCAGCTGTAGTTCAATGGAATATGAATATTAAAGAAACAAATGAGAGCAGATTTATAGGCCATTGCTTTTCTGTTATGTCAGTTTTGAGATTACACTGAGCAAATGAACAGTGAAAAATTACTCTTCCATGTGGAGAATGGTGATTAGACTTGTACATTAATTAGAGATTTTTGTTTTCCTTTTCAATGCATTTCAAATGAGAATGTCCTATAAGTAGCGGATTGTCCAAAATGCAGACTTATTCCTTCCTAAACAACAGGATTTAATACTGACATATATTTTTTTACAATTGTAAGGAAATAATTATTCTTCTAATTTTAAGTATCTGTTTCAAAAAATAAATAGATTGTGAACGAAAGCAGTAGAAGGGACCGGTTGTGACTATTTGACATATATGGCAAATTTCCTTTGAATTCAGTTAATTCACAACTAGATCCCTGGGGATAATCCTCTCACAAAAGTGACAGGTGAAAAATGTATTTTCATCTTGCTATTTTTAAACATTGTGAACTTTCTAAAGATTTTTTTTTTTCTGAAATTTTAAGAATCCATATATATATAATTTAAAAGCCTTTTAATGTTAAAATCTGTAGTAACAAAGCTTAAATTTTACTTGCAGTGTACTTTGGACTTGTATTTAAGTGCAAAGATCTGTACACATCCTCTTTAATGCAGTTTTTATAATGCTTTTAAAGAATGCCAACTGATACTACTCTTATGGTGAAGGGAAAACTCACTACACAGCATACATCGGGTTAAACTCCTGATTCTCTTCCCGAAATCTCAGGTGATATCATATAGATTATTCTGCTTAGCCTTTCTCAGTGTGTTAGCCATTATATCTCTTTGGTTTTAATTTATTGTCCGGTACTTCTGAAGTGTTTCCTTGATGGGAATCCTCCTAACCTATGGGAATAATGTAAATGTATCTCCCTGCCTTTCTAGCAGTTAAACTATGTTGCAGTAAATTAGCTATAAACTGATTCAAATATGATGTAGCATTAAAGTTCTTCACCATAAAACATTTGCAAACTCTTGATGAAGGACGACCTGGTAGTTTGTGCAAAGAAGGAGAGATTAGGAGTGATGAGAGGTGGATTTGTTCATCCATTTTGATGGCACACCTTTCTTGAGGCATATGGCAGTCTCATACAAATTCAAACCACAGCACAAATGCAAAGAATAATTGCCCATTAAAATGGCTGTATATTTTTATGGCTTTGATACAAAATCTGCCCCCTGTTGTTTTTTGCATCTGCTACTCTTCCATCTATCCCAAAGCTTTAAAACTTTAATACACAATATATAACCCTTAAGTATTTTTAACAGGTTCTATTCTTCCTTTTGGGAACTCAAAGTTTGTAATTTTTCATTCAGTCTTTGTTTTCTAAGGCATATGTTGAGATATGGTGCCTAGAAAGTGCACCTATCTGTCATGTTTATTCAATAAAAAATTAATAAAACCAATGCTTATATTACATATTTTGGCAGAAATTAAGGTTTGATTAAATTTCATCTGTGAACACAAAGATTAAATTCCTCTTCTTTTTCTCATGATCATATTTGTTTTTTATATAAAATCATTAGTTACTTAAATTTTCCTAATATACTAACTAATTCCAAAGGGCTTTTTATTTGCTTAAATGTTGCAATTTGCTGACCAGATTTCATGTTTTGAGATCTAAACTGAAGTTTGATGAAGGAGATAACCTGACGGTGTTTCCCTGTTTATGAAGTGTATCCAGAAGAGAGATCTTCTTGGACAATATTCATTGTAATAATTTTTATTTTCTTTTTAAATTTCATCCCCTTAAATGTAAAAAGAGAAAAATAAGTTTAAAGAAGGAATCTTGCCACTATGCTGTACCTAGAGAATTTCATTTAGGCTGTAGGACAAGATTATTTGTATACTTTTTTATAATTATGTTAAGCAAAACCAAGTACTTCCACAACATATTTTTTTTTAATACTTCATTTGTTTCAATTTGAAAATGTAAAATTGCAGCTCCACTGTAGACACTGATTTTTTTCTTGCTGCCATTGCAGTCCCATTATATTTGAATAGCTGAATGAATAACTACAGAACTGATGCGGCTGTTAGATGAGAACAGAAATTGTTTCTTTGACTTAATCTTTGATTATATGTACTTCTTAGAAAAGTCTTTCTTTTTCTTTAACCTCATATTGTCACCTTATTTCATCATTGCCTAAATGAAGAAATCTGCCTTTTCTCTATCACAGACCAGAAGAATTCCAGTCATCAAATTACTTTGATAAATTTAATGTACTTTTGCTTAGAAGTGGACTCAGATGCTTCCCTGCTGAGAGTCAAAGACATTTTCAACCCCTTTATAATAGCATTTTCACTGACTGAGTTTCAGCAGTTTGGCACTGAGGCACTAAGGAGGGTTGACCTACAAACTGCAAGTCATTAAAATCTTTAACCCTCCTGGCTAGTATATTCATTACTTTTGGGGCTGGTTAATAGCACTTAATGCTTCCTGATGGGAGAGCCCTTTTCATAAATTTTTTTTATGAAGTCCATTCTTCAGTTGTGTTCTAACAGAGCCACTTCTGCTGGTTATTTTGGGGTGAGGATATTAAAAAGTAGCAAAATAAATTCTGAGTTTATTACATATTCCTAACCATCTTATTTCTCAGGTGGGCTGAAGTAGCATAATTTTTTTTGCTGAACTCAAATTTAGGGTGACGTGATCTTGTTGATTATTTTGCCACTTACCTTAGTCTTTAATATTACCACCTGGAAATAGAAGGCGTGTTTTCTGATACTATGTTTTTTCAGACTGACCCAAGACAATTTATTCATTTGCTTAAGCAAACTCTTCTTAGCACTGTTTTGGTGGGCTTGGTTTTTATTTATTTATTTGCATGATTTTTAAAAAAGGCACAAATTAACTCTCAAATTATTGGAGCAACTTACTTCTAGAAATGACCATCTAGAAATTAGTAATTTTTCTAATGCAGGCAGACTGCAGCTAAACATTAATCTGATAACAAAAATAATCCTACTGGATTAGATTAGTTTTCCATCTTGTCCAATATCTGGTATTTGAAAAGCAGCAAAAGATGGATGCCTAAAGAAAAGTTGTAAGACTGGAACTAGTGTGTAGGTATATAGTTCTTTGAACATTGTGGTAGCTTTCTACAGTTTGAAGAGGTTTTGTAAACCAGAGGTGATTCCTTAATACTGTTTCTCTGCAGGGAAACTCTTCACTGTTTTCAGTCATAAACTTCTAACATCCACAACGTCCAGGGGCAGAAAGTTCCATAGTGGCTTAGTTAGAGGCTGTGTGAGGAGCCACCTTTTCCCATATCCACAATCTCTGCAGACTTCCTGGACAGCCTTTTTGTCAGTGAGAAGGACCAAGTAGTAATAAGACAGTAATGGACAAGTCACCATAATTACAGTATTTTCCTTCATGTGTTCAGCCAGAGACATCTACAAGTTGTGAATTTTTCATTTTCTTTTCAAATTCAAGGCTTCTTTTAAAAATTAATGCTAAAACAGATGAAATGTAGATTAAAATAAATTCTGTATTTCAGAGTTGAAAATCTTACTGGTTTACACATCGTTAGTTCATTTGCTTGCTTCTTATTAGGGCTTTGCTAAGCAGTATTTACTTCTTTTATCTATTTACGTACTGAAAAAAATTCAACAAAATGAAGCACAACTGAAGTAACCTGAGTGCCAACAGAGCTGGATTTGATTGTCTCACTGATTAATTCATTCCAAAAATACCTGTTCTAACGCTGGCCAGAAATACATGTACAAAGGAGAAATGAAGTAATGAAGTATTGGTTTAAAAAATGGCAGAGAAAGTGAAGTGGAAAGTTTCCTTTTTATTTTTCAATTAAAAAGTTTACGAAGAAAGAAGTTTTACAGATGTCTTACAGCAAAAAATCCTCTAAGTAGTACTGCATTACTGTTTGGTTTCTGATTAAAATATTTTAAGTCTTACATGGAATGGTAATTAATGTTTATACTTAGTTGCAATGCCAATATAAAAATATCTAAGTTAATTTCCTTTTTATATGTCTATTGCATCTGAATATTATCTGAATTCAAATAGATATTTCCAAAGTATGCAACCCTTGACTTTGAAGGATTAATAGATACTGTTATGAACAAAGTATACCCCTAAAATCTGAGAGGACTTTTGCTCTGTCTTTCGTTCCCTTGGTACACAATTAAGATCCAGTTAATAATCAACTTTTGAACAGAAGTAAAGCTGTGCCAGATTGGTGTAATCACTGGATAATTTAGATCACGGGAGGTCACCTGGTCTAATGTCTCAGCTCCACTCAAAGCAAGGCTGACTTCTGATGACGGATCCAATAATTATTTTTAATAATGAGTGTCTTCTAATACAATCAGAGCCACCTGCGATACTGGCATCAAAATTCCCAGTTTGCCGTCTCCTGCTTGCATACAAAGGTTTTGTGTAAAAAGATGAGCCTTCTGGTTAAAAAACTAATAATTTACTTATTTGGCGATTCCCTCATCCAGTTATAGGCACGCTTTAATATAAGCAGAACCGTGCTACTTCATTATCCTTGGTCTAAAACACTAGATTGATGGGAATGCTTTACATTCCTCTTTTGTTTGTTTTTTTTTCCTTTTTTTCTTTTTCTTCCCAGTGCCAGGATTTCCCTACCCTGCTGCGACCGCAGCTGCTGCCTACAGAGGTGCACACCTAAGGGGCCGAGGTCGCACGGTGTACAACACGTTTCGGGCAGCGGCACCCCCCCCTCCGATTCCAGCCTACGGCGGGTAAGATCAGCCTCTTTTACCTATTAGCATGACTCTCCCACTGGTTGTGTCTGTGGTGCATGCTGATGGTGTCTCAGCACGGAAACCACGCAGCGTGCGGCCAGTCCCCGCGCTGGAAGTGGTGCACCTTGCACAGAGTATTGAAAAATGACTGTAATTTGTACTGCCATGGTTGGTGGCCTTAAGCATTTCAGATGTCACATATTGTTATGTAAATGCTCTTAGAAACGGAATGCTTTGGAACAGAGAAATTGTTTCAGCTAAAGATATATTTCTGATGATTGCAAACATCTGGTTATTAAGGAGGTTGGATCAAGTTAACTTCTTTTTCTTCAAATCATCCACCGAAAGTTGTCACTGGACTTGAAGGCTTAGCGATTTTTTTTGTTTATTTATTTTTTTCAATTTTTGCAGTTTGTTTAGTTTTTGATTTTTTTTATTTTTATTTTTATTTTTTTTCCAATTTTTGCAGTTTGTTTAGTTTTTCTAGTTGACATCCTTACCACAATAGGAATCTGGGGTGCTTCTATCAGGGACATGTCTTTTTCAGTACATTTGCTTAAATAATGCTTTCACTGTCAGGGACCTATGTTTACTAAAACCGAGTAGCAAAGTAAGGAACAAAGGAGAGAAACTCATTGTAATGATTTCTAGAAACTCAACAGTCTTCTCTTATTTCATAAGATTTCAATTTTATTTTTTTTTTGTTTTTGGGGGAAAGAAGGGAGAAACAAATTCTCTTGTAGCTCTGTAAATCCTGACAGAGAAAGGTTTTGTCTGCTGCATATGATATTTAAAAGCCTTAACGTTGTCACAAGATTTTCAACTATTAAGAAATTCAGAAGTTTGGAAAGTCAGAAAACTTTGCAGATCCCAGGCCAGAATAGTATTTTGTTATAAAAAAATGTGAAGTAGATATGCCACCACCTCTCTGTGGAGCAACCAGACCTTTCTGGGAAAGGATCAGGAAGGGTTTGCAAAGTCTTTGAGTGAAGCTGATCCCTCTCTCCATGCTCACTAAAATTGTAGTCAGCAGCCCATCTACTCTCGCTATGGATATCCTGCTGGAAGGGAGCTTGCAGCACAAGACCCTGTCCTCCTACTTCATTACAGTAGAAGATGGGCGTCCTTCACTAGTTCCCTCAGTTTCTCATGAAGCCTTTGTTCTAGTAAGCCAAACGGCATGTGTTTTTCTAGGCAAGTTTGCTAATCTGGTCAGTCAGCCATTGAGCTAAATTTTTAGGGATATTTAAAACAAGCACTTTGGCTATTCCTTCGCATTGGGCAGTTACCATCTCAGAAAAGTAAGATGTTCTAAAACTGAATTTAAAAATGGTGCCACAGAATCAGGTTATCTTGTAGAAGTGTGTTTTTTTTTTCTATTTTAAGTGTTTTGTGTAGTTTAATAAGCAAAATTAATACTAAGTTGTAAGTAGAACACTTGTCACTACTGGCAGAAGACACCATGATTTTTGAAGGTTGCCTGAGTTACCTTTGGACAAGGATGATGTCCCACCAAAGTTATCCAATGTTGCCCAGACTCTCATTTAGAGTTCGTCCAGGTATTTGTACACGGCAATGAGGGGAATGAGTTTATAATGCCCTACAAGAGCTGATCTCAATCTGAATATCACAGCTACAAAATGGATACTGCATATAAAGAAAGTGGACTCTCTGTCTCTACTTAGTTTAGAAAGAAATTCTTAAATTTAACATAGTGTGCAATATATAGTAAGATAATTGCCAGCTTCATGATGTCATGAACATAATATCTTAGTTTAATACCAAGTCATAAATTTATATAAGAAAATGATTACCAGGTACATGTGATACCCTATTTTTGCATTGGGTAATACTTTTTTTGTTAGTATTTGAAAAACGAGTAAATACTTTCAGACCAGTAAGTAACTTAAATTTGCTTTAATTTAAGGGGCCACATGTGGGTGCTCTGTGTGTGTATGTGTGTGTTATATAAGTTTTTATAGTTTAGTTAGTACAGTGACTCAGCAGGAAGAATTAAATTTCCAAGTTAAATACATATATATTCTCATGTAATTGCACTGCTTACTTTCAGCATCTTTAGGTAGTAAGTTAGATGTATAAGCTTTGTGAACTCCTGTTGTAAGTTAATAGAGAAGTAAGGTTCAGCAGCGTTTTGAAACTGGGTTACAAGCGGTCTGGTCAGCACTTTTTCATTCTTCTGTAGGATGGTTTCACAGTTAGGTTGGACATATCCTGCCTGTTACCTTCATGACCTGTCCTTAAAGCTGACTTCAGAGGGAGCCATGCATTAGTCATATCTTACTGTTTTGATGACTTCCAGCTGTCTGAGATGAACCCTTGGTAATCTAGGGCTCACCTTGCCAGTCACAATTTGACTCTGCAAAAGTTCTCAATTAGTAAGCTTTGTCTTAATTTAGATAGGTCTTAGTTCAGATAATAGTTGGGTTTGATTTTCTCCATCCAACTATGCTTCATAACAAGGCACTGCTTTCCAATGCACAAAACAAATTTCAAACTGTTGTAATGGATAGATCAGTGCAGAAATAACACAAGCCTCTGTTGCACTAAGCCATAGTTAGATTAATAAAGCTTTATTCTGAAATAATTTCTTTGGCCTAGCGTATTAGATTTGGTATTAACTTCACTGATACAATAGTACAATTCGGAGTTTCTTTACAATGTTCTGTTCTCTGCTTCATCCATTATGTGCTCTGACCTATCAAAGGCACAAAAAAGAATTTTCATCAGAAAAAAAATCCTTAATCAATGAAAGTAAATAATAAGAATGTGTTTTCAGTCACAATGGGAGTAGGAGTCAAGGAAAATTAAAGAGATAATAAGAGATCACAGAGAATAGTTCAACTTACAGTAGGAAGCAAACAACTTGGAATATTATTTGTTGATAACAAAAATGGAAAAAGCTTTGAATGCTATTTTTCAATTCATTTAGTAGCAATTTCTCATTTGTCACTCAATGAAGGAGCCAAGCCAACAGTTTCAAACTGAAATATTTTCAATCATTAAAAAAAAGGACATCTATTTTGTATATTGACAGATATAATTTTAATTATAAATTTACATTAGAAAAATATACTTTTCTTTTTAAAAAAGAACCCACATGTAAGTGGGTGTAAAACGTACGTGTAAGATATAAAACTGAAGTTTGAAACAGCCTTTTTAATTTTATTTTATTCTTTCAATTTTATTTTATTATTACTGAAATAAAATATAATACTTGATCTGAAATAATTTTATTCAGACTTACTTGTTTATATTATTTTGGAACTGAAACTAAATCATTATGCTTAAAATTTGGAAATCAACTGTAAAGTGAAGAACATGTGTTTCTCAGACTAGTCTGACGTGCTGCTTACCAGTGTTTATCTCAGCAGCACTGTCTCAGGATTCCCTGCTCTGAAACAAAAGCCTTCCCAGTCTCCCTTGAATCTGTTGTTATTCTTGTTCACATGTGTCCTGTTTGATATTGACCGTGACCTTTTCTTAGAAACTGTTTACCAACAAAGTTAAGAAATGGCAACAAGTCCCAGACCGTAAGGAAATCTAGAAGATCTTGTGATCATTAGGCAAAACAAGTTGGTGCGAGTCATACAAAATGCTCTCATCTGCTGTTCCTGGGAAGCAGCAAATACGGCACACTTCGCTAAGTCTGCGGAAAATTGTTGATTCTAGCCACATTTGAGGCCATTGTTTTCTTATGAATCAAAGAACAGCACAGATGTTTTAATATGTGTCATTTAAAAATGAAATCAGTGTTCATGAGACATATAGCACTACATAAATAATTAATGGAACCTTTCCTTGTGAGTGAGGCATTTCACTAATTCCTTGAGATAGCATCTTGTTCATTAGCTCATGGAAAATTCTTCCTTTTTTAGCATCTGTGGCATCATTTCTAATGCCTTGAAATATTACAATGTGCAGCTTACTCATAACCTGGTGTGTATAATTCATTTATGTACCATAAAAACCTACTGAAACTGCAATGAGGGAGTAAAGCTTCATTTTTGTGAGAAAACTGAATGCTGAAATTTGAAGCGTTTGGAGATCTACATTGCACGTAGAGCTTAGCTTCAACACTGTCCTTCAGGAGGAAGAGAAGCAGGCGATGGTCGTGTTGTGTGTGGCATGAGAGGTGCATGGAGTTAAAAGCATGTTGGTATGGGAGGATGTAGCTGTGGAGCTCTGAGCTATTGCTCGCTTATCTGAGGGGGCTCCTGGGAACTTCACAGCAAGATTGGTGACTTGGTTGAGGAGCAAAGCAGTTACTATTTTTAGCTGACTAAATTCCTTTCATACCTTCTTTCTTGGGACAGTTTCCATGAGGGAGGATTTGAGGTTACTGCTTCTTTGACCTTTCTTGCAGGCTTCTCTCTGGGTATTAGATAGTGTTTTGTGCAAAATAATTTTTAAACTAAAAAAACCCCACAAACCAGTAAGAAACAGAAATATAAAAACAAAAGTAATCTTGGCTTGACCTGTGTTTTTCTAGGATTCTCTATTTTATTGACACAGTGCCTACTAGTAGTGTAAGCAATATCCTAATAAAGCAGAAGCTGCATGTAAATGTGCTCATATGACAGGTTTTGGACGACAGTACTTAAATTGCCAAAAGAAAGGAGAAGGACGCAGTTTTTGTTCTTTTTGGTAAACTACTGAAAGCAGGTGATCTGGTTTTCATGCCTGTCATAGCTTTTGAACTCTGCAGCAACTAGTACCTCAGCATTCTTGAAAATCGTTTGCTGAATAGTACAACATCATTAATATGATACTCCATATTTAACTGCTGTCCTGAAAAGCCAGTGTCACTGTATATCTGGTAGCGTAGCAGATAGTGGTGGTAGATAGCATTATTAGTAAAACTATCAAGAAGCCATTCTGTTCCAGCATCATTTGCCTCAAGTTCTTTACAAGTTTACTGTGTGATGACTTTCACATTTCTACTATGCTCCTTCTAGTTCTGATGAAGCTAACAGGGAGATGAGAAGGTTCTGGGCCGACCTTATAGCGGCCTTTCAATATCTGAAGGGAGACTATAGGAGAGCTGGGGAGGGACTCTTTGTCAGGAAGTGCAGTGACAGGACCAGGGGTAACGGTTTTAAATTGGAAGAAAAAAGATTCAGATTAGATACCAGAAAGAAATTCTTTCCTGTGAGGGTGGTGAGGCACTGGAACAGGTTGCCCAGAGAAGCTGTGGCTGCCCCATCCCTGGAGGGGTTCAAGGCCAGGCTGGATGGGGCTTGGAGCAACCTGGTCTGGTGGGAGGTGTCCCTGCCCATGGCAGGGAGTTGGAACTCGATGATCTTTAAGGTCCCTTCCAACCCAGTCAATTCTATGATTCTATAACAGAGAATTAACTTTGAGTACGTCTCTCCACTTCTGGTGTGTTTCCTGGGAAAATAGGGGGTAGCAGTATGCTTTTTTTTCTCTTTGAAAAGAAGAATTTTTTAAAAAAAAACCAACCCCAAATAAAATTGTGACGTTGGGGAGGGTGGAGGAGAACAGAGACTGTTCAGAAACTGTTCCTCTTTGTTACAATAATTGTTTTGAAGTGCTGCTTTCTAATGGATTCACAATTAAAAAGAAGCTTTATTTTCCAACACCTTATTCTGAATTTAAGAAAGAAGGATAATTCATATAAGCTACTACATCTACTATGATGGTTATGTTTTTTTCAAATACACTTCTATGGGCTCACAGAAACTTCCTCTTACTTTGGACTCTGTGCTTTGTATATATGTGCAATTGTTAGAAGAAAAAATATGTTTTCCCAGCACACAGTGATTTATGTCTTCCAGCTTTGTTCTCTGCAGCAATGGCCTTAATTAGTTTTCCAAAGCAGAGTATATAACTTGTTCATAGCAGAAAATGTTGAGATTGGAAAGACGAGAACCTGGAGAATGTTCTAAAAAGATGAAACAGCTTCATACAAGAGTCTTGGTTCTATATTTACAACCATGAAAGCTGTGTTATCAGAGTGTTGAAAGGTGTTCCTTTAATTCTCAGTCTTTTCTTTGGTTTATTTTAAATAAGGTTGTAGTTGCATCTCTTCTGCTATATGTTTTATGAAGGCTTCACATAAAGGGTTTTATATAAAAGGTGATTTCTGAGATCTGGAAAGTATGTGTAGGACAGTGAAGGCAACCCTACAAGTAATCAGAAAACAAAGAACTTTTGTTCCTCAGGTGCTTTCTCTTTGTGATGGAGGGGAAATAGCAAACCATAACCATGATTCCCACACAATGAATGAAATCATGGTTGTAATGCCCGTTTGTTACACTGAATTAATCACTCCATGCACTTAATCTGCCTTAGGTTATTTATGTGAACTTGTGCGGATTGTGTGTATGGCTGAGAGCTGTATATACTCAGCTGCTATGAAGTTACTGAACTAAGGTTTGTGCAGTCAAGAACTGTCTTCTTATGTCATTGATAGATAATTCAACCCAATCCTTTTGAAAGATGAGAATAGAAAAATGATAATGAAGACAGATGTAGTCCTCCCAGGATATTATAAAGGTGGAATCTAAACTAGTAAAGAGTTTATCTTAATATAGTTACCAAAAAATGATTATAAGACACACAGTCTAAAATAAAACAGCTGAAGCCATGCAAAGCAGATGTGTAATAGTTGATGAGAAAACAGTTTCATATTTATTGAAAAATAATTTCAGGAAATGATTGCCACATATGATGTTATTTAGATGCACATTTTCTTATTAAATCAAGATTTCTCTCTTCTCTCTGAGTTTTCCTTAGCACAATAAAATAATAAACAACTGAATAAATCCCCCAAATTTGTTGTTCTTATTTTAAAGCCTCCAGGTAGCGCATTAACATATCATCCGTTCCTGGGTGAAGTAATTCAGATGTCAGTAATGTGACTATTTCCAGACCCTGTGCTGGTTTACAAGGAACTCAAGATTTATCCGTCTGCCAAGACAATTTTTTGAATATAAAATGTAAAAGGAGCTGTGGTGACACGGGTCCCTGTGTGATGCATTCAGTCTTTTCCCATGCTTGAGACTTATCATCTGTTTTCTGCCTACAGCTTCAGAGAATGGGGGGATGATAAGCCAAGCAAATTACCCTTTGGAAAATTATATACTGAAGGGAAGAAAAGGACAAGAGCAAAACATAGCTCTTGGTGACTTACACTTTGTCCTTCCGATGAAAGGTGCTGTTAGAAAATACATTGGACTCCACTGGTAAAATTCAGTCACAGGAGTCAACAAATGACAAGGGCAGTGAATAGAAAAAATATTCTCTGAAAAATTCTCTGAAAAGTCTGAAGAATTACTCTTCTTAAAACTTCAAAAGAAGGAGAAGGTTTTATATTTAACATCACTATCATACTATATACTATAGTATAATTACAAGTATGCTATATTTAACATACAGTATATACATATGGAGGAAATAAAATAATATAAACTGATATCTTTTCATAGTGCACGTCCTGATTGAGAGCATTATACTCCTTTGCCTGATTCTGTCACTTCATCTTAATACTAACCATGTTTAGTGATGGAGTCTTGCATTCATGTCTCAGGGTACTTCCTTCAGTATCATATTTACCAAGCAGCTGCCTATTTAGAATTCAGAATAAGTTTCTGTCTATGCAGGACTGAGCGTTATATGTAAAAGGAAGGCCTAGGGATGAAGTAACCTAGCCAAGATTACAAACAGCTGCACTTGGGAATTCAAAATGCATCAGCCTCTATTCATCTTGGGACATCTTCCCTGTATATCCACAGAGCAGCAAGAGGAGGAAGAAAAAAGGTCCCCTTTCTGACACATATTCTCTCAAAAGCGCTATTTGCTAAATAGCAACATATAGTAACAATAGAAGGTAGTATGTTTTAATGTGCTGTGGTGGGCTGACCTCAGCTGCCGGCCAGACCCTCACCCAGCTGTGCTCTCGTTCCCCCTCCTCAAGAGAATAGGGGCAGAAAGTAAGATGGAAAAGCTCTTGGGTTGAGATAAAGACAGGGAGGTTGCTTACCAATAGGCATCGTGGGCAAAACAGACTTCACTTGAAAATTAATTTAATTTATAGCCTATTAAATTGCAGTTGAATGCTTAGAAACAAAGAACCTAAAACACTTTCTCCCCCTTCCTGCCCCTTCTTCCCAGGCTCAGTTTCACTCCTGCATTCCCAAGTCGTCCACCTCCCCACAGCATGAGTGGCTCAGGGATGTGAGGAACTGAGGGTTGTGGGCCCTCTATCTTCAGTAAACTTTATATCATTTGTATGTTATCTCATAAAATTCCTTCCCTGTTGTTCACGGTTGTGTACTTCTACCTCCCAGTGACATGGAATGTTTTATTTTTTACATGCAGACAGGTATAAGAAAAACACGTAATGTTTTAAAATAATCAGAATATCAAAACCAGAATGAGGGTATGGTACAGTGTAAATAGCAAGCTCTCTAAAAGCTACCAATGTAGACCAGGTTTGGTGTATTTTGCTCTGCAGACATAATAAATAGAAAAATACATGAGTAGAGGTTTGACCTTGCTGAAGCAAATGGCAGACACTGTGATTTAAGTGGAGCCGAGTTTTCACACATTATTATTCCATAGCAAACTTTTATCATCAGTGTGTTTTTATCAATGTGGTTTGTGTGCATGTATGCATATTTATGATTTTCTTGAGTGATTCTGACTTAGACACATACCAGCTCAGCCCTGTGGGTTTTGGTCATTGACCTCAATAGATCAGTTATATTTCTGACATGAAAATTCTTGTTGAAATTGTAAAACAGCTTAGGCTAGCAACTTCATAATAGCTATTATTCCCAGATAATAGTATTCCTAAATTGAAAATATTGTTGCAAAAACCCTATTGTGTGCTCTCATATTTAGCTCTCGAAACAGCTTGGGTTGATTCTGATATTGAAAATACCCATTTTAAGTTGCAGAACTGCCAAATGAAAGTAAAATTGCATGACTTAGGTAATGTGTGCAATTGGTAGGCCACTGTTGTGTAGTTCCAGTTTTATTTACTGTAATCATTTAAACTATCTCTGTCACACTGTGTCATTTGTCCTGAAGGGTTTAGAATCTAAAATTTGAACTATTTATGCTGATGACTTATCTTGGCTGAAATGCAGCAATCGCTGGGTGAGCTGTTAACAGCAATATAACAATACTACATTTTTTCAGATAAGATGTAGTAATGTATCCAACCAAAACTGCAGGGCAGCTCAGAACCATTGGCATGTTTGCCAAAGTTGTAAAATGATAAAGTGAGGAGGTTAATACTTTTCTAAAATAAGAATACTGCCATTACATTCTTAACAGACCTGTTGTCACTAGCAGAAATGTGTCTCACACAGCAATGCAGTACCTGTAAATACTCTGATCTCTGTGTACATTGAAGTATTAAGATTTGAGCCAATGTGTAGAATGCCACCAGTATAATTATTTCATACACTTCTCTCACCATATAAACTTACGCTGTGTTTGCTTTCCATCTAAGAAATGCAACTACTGCTTTGTTTCAGAGGGTTGACATAATTGCAGGACAAGAAAGTAGTAGTTCAGGAGATAAAATTTTGTTGATGTATTAAAACTTATAGTAGGATTGGCCCACTGAATTTTTTTATAGAAAAAAATGCAGCCAAAATGTGGTTCCTTAAAGAAAAGAAGAAAAAAAAAAACCACAAAACCTTATGAAAAATATTTTCCAATCCTGCCATACTTTGCCTCTCTTTCAGTAAGCATTTGGCATACTTCATAAGATGTTGTATTTGGTACAGTTTCACTTCTGAGAATTACTACCAACCTCCTTAACCAATGTGAAGAGTGCCTTCCTTCCCCCCTCCCTCTGTTTTTGTGACAAGACTAACCTCCGCTGTGCAGGGGTTGGTGGCATTTGCATGTGGAAATGCACTAATATGGATGTTTTTCTTTGTGTGTGCATCCTTGCAGTGTTGTATACCAGGATGGATTTTATGGTGCAGACATTTATGTAAGTATTCATTGATGTGCATGCTGTCCTTGTACATTACCAGAGTCATTCTTTTTACAAGTTTGCTGCCTAGCTTGACTCTGTTTTGTCTATTTACCATCCCTTGCCTGTCAGAAAGAATTGAGAAGAATATCTCTCACATTGGAAGACCTTTCTGTTCATTACATCTATCATTGTTCAGTGGAGCTGAATTAACTCTTCAATCAAATGCTGAATGAATGCAAAAAGATGTGAAAAGTGTCTGTGCGTGTGTGTGGAGGGGTGTCTCCCTTCAAAATTGAAGTTCAAAGAAAAAATGAAAACAAAGCAGAAACATTCTTCTGTGAATCCCCAAAAGCTCATTTTTAAAAATCAAAACAAGCTGAGTATTATTAATACCTGAAGTACGAAAATACTTTATAGACAGATAGAGATTTCCCAAAACCAGGCAACAGTGGGTATATTTTTAAGCGCCTTGATGATAGTAGAGCTCATTACAGCTACGTATTGTCTGTAATCTGAGTAAACTTCCATCTGCTCTTTTAAAATCCACTTATTTCAATTAAAATGAAATGGATAGAGACCGCTCATGATATAAGAAGTGGTTATATCTGTTAGTAAGGATTTATAGCCCTGGATCCATCCTTAGCTGCTTCACCTCATTGGTCACCAATTTCCTTTTAAATAATATTTTTTAAAGTTTGTCACTAATACTGAAGTTTTTACCTTGAATTTATGCAGAGGTTACTTGCTACACCTGCAATAGGTTTCAGGTAGTTGAGGCTGAATATCGCTCTTTTAAAATAATTAATTCTTATACCCTATGTGTAGATGTAAAATATTTTACTGATATTCCAGTAATCTTTCATATTTGTTATTATTTTGATAAAGCAATCTGGTCCTAATTTACAGGTATCATCTTTATTTCACTAGATAACTTTCTAGCCTACTTCTGTTGCTCTGGCTCTGTTGAAATACAAAGAGATGGATGAGCTGAAATTGGTATGAATATTAAAAATTCAATAGGTAGTCTAGAAAACATTCCTTGTATTCATTATCAACAATCTTTTAGAACTATTTCCAAGGGAACAGATTTTTTTTTTTTAAATAAGTTTTATATAAAGAACGAAACCAATTTGAATTTATGGATGAAGTAGGTTTTGTTTTTCTGATGGAGGTAGAAAAGGCTGATACTTATCTGAAAATTAATTTGTGTAGATTAAAAAATATATTTAAAATAAATTAGCATGGGTTAAAATTCTCTCCCAGTGTACTTAGGTACTTAGCGATGTTATCGGTAACATATTGTTTACAACACGTGAGAATCACCCAAAGTCTTACTCAAGTGTAGTGTGCTGCTCTGATCTCACTAGACACATTGCTGCTGAACGTTTGAGCTATACAGGATAGATAGTACAGTGAGGAATCTCTTCAAGGGTGGATTCCAATTATCATATTTCTTCAGACTGTCAAAGGATGACATCCATTTTGCTCAGTTTACCAGCCTGAATCTGAAAGGCAACAAGACATCTTTCTCGGGATTGCTTCATGTGATAGTAGAGGTGGGAACTAAATGTTAATGTAGCAGTTTGTAGTTTTGGAACCCACTGCTGCTGAAAAACAGGAATATCTCTTCTGGTGACTGACAATATAATTTCAGGTGACCTCACACCCTCTCACAGACTTCAGCATTTTGATTCCAATTGGAAAGTGATTTCAATGAGGAAGATACCAAAGAAATTACTAATTTCTTGTACAGCTTCAGTTTTGTTGCCTGTAATAGTCATATGCATTAGAAGATGGAATAACTATACTGGTGCATTGGTTTTCACTCAGTTGCAGCCTTGTATTTCTGATTGCATTTCTTAGTCCTCTTAATGCAGCAGAATGTTTACCTTTAAAGCAGCTGACAGAATTAAAACACTCTTCTGGAAATTTCTTTTTTTTTATGATGTAGAGAGCTTCTTATTTTATAATTCATTTTTATTCATGTTTGTTCTTTCTTGCATATAAAGAATTTTGCAGGGGAGGGAGAGAGAAATAGAGAGAACTGGCATAAATCAAAAGAAACCTTGCAATTCACAGTGTATTAGTTCTTAGTGTATCAGTTTGCAGCAGACCAAATTATTTATTAAATCCCAATTGATTATGACATAGTTCTACTCAGCTTTTCATTTAAAGTGCAGAGCTGAAGCTTTGTGAAAGAAGAAATGCTTTGTGGGAAAAAAAAAAAAAAGGAGAAAAAAAAATTATCAATGTAGGTTTTAATAGTAGTGTGGAGAAACCTTAAAAATACCATAGAAAGCAAAACAAAAAGAACATGGTACTGAAAAGGCAGACCAAAAATATACATTAACAAGTATATCAAAGTGGGTTTCATTCTGATATGATCACATTGAGTCTCAACAGTAATATGTACTGTTCTAGTATTTTCTTAAGTAGCTATCAATATAGTCTTTGATGGGTAGATTTTGTGGAAAGAAAGAAGCTACTGGTTGGGTGAAAACTGCAGGATGAACCAAGAACAGCAGAGACAGAGTTGCTTAATACTAACCAGAGAAATAGAAGAGAATAGGAATATAAAAATAGGTGGAAAGTCTAAAATGAAAAATCAACAGCCATGATTCTAGATGTAATATAATATATTTTATATTTCATATAGTTCTGTGTGGAACGTAATAATGCTTCTGAAATAGCTGAGCTATTGAATTCCTTTTTAAATGTGCCTTAGAGTAGAAAAAATAAAGGAGATGATTAGGAAGTAAGGAAGACCTTTTAAAATTAAGTATTGATTCACTAAGAGAAAAAGTCATTAAAAGAGAATTAAGGTTGCCTGCCAGCAAATATAGCAGTTCCTAGATGAAGATTGACACCTGTGAAAATAAGAAAATACGCTCCACAAAATGAAGCAAAAATAGTAACAGATGCAGAAATATGCAGTTCGAATAATAGCTCTACACTATTGCTCTGCTTTATCTTAAAAGTGGTTTGGTTTTTTTTTACCATTGTCATAAAGAATGTTTTCAGAACATGTCGGTCTTCAATTCACCTGAAATAGGAAAGGCAAAGAAATCTGAGAAACTTCCAAAGTCTGTCATCACCAGCTTCAGAATTCCTTTGGTAATTGGATTTTGCAATGTACATTAGCCAGCCTTATTGTTCATGGCAAGATTTTCTAGCCTGTTCTCAGGATTCTGGACCTGTGATACTGCAGCTGGTGAGAGTTCACAACATAGGAGTACATGGGATTAAGATCTTTTTCTGAGCTACTGATCAAGAATAAAGGATGCTTTTATGATCAGGGATATGGAATGAGATTATCAATAGCTACTGCCATTACCTTTATCTCAAAGCTAGGATGGTATTGAGGGTGGAGCATGTATTTATTTCCCAAGGAAAAAGCAGATGTAATTATCTAAGCAACATTCCCCTGATACTAGGTGGGAGTCCATCAGTGCAATCAGATACTGTGCTGTTCTAATGTGAAAAGCAAGGATTTGCAGTTAGCGACGAAGACTTCTAAGTACCAAAGTTTTTGTGTTTTGTAAATGGGAGGATGTGCCATTTCCTGTGACTCACAGAAATAGAATGAGAATTTGAGAAATGACTTTTCCAAGGGCAAGAAACTCCCTAAGGAGCAGTGGATTGTTCCTCCTGGTGCTCTATGTTTGGGAACACTCCATGATACATTTTTTAAAGTTTTGAGATCTAATGCTGAAATGTGTTTTCACCTCTCTGATCTTTACTTGTGGTATAAACAGCACGTTCAAAAAAAAATTCTAGATTGGTCCTGGTGCTTGTATTTGGTTGGAACTACTCAGGTGGTGTCAGTTTGGATATATTACCAAGAGCTTCTCTAAGGCAACAGATATCTCTGGGAACACAATACAGAAATAACATGAACCTGTCACATAACCCCATTCCAGAAGTTGAGCCAGCACTAAGAAGGGTATTTTATTTTAAAATCTCCCATTCAAAGTTTTATTCTGAGCAGAACAAATACTGTTTAAACCTCAGTATCATGTGAGTGGAGGAAGAGGGGTCGGACTAGATGGCCTTTGGAGGTCCCTTCCGGCCTGGGCAACTCTATGATTCTATGATTCTATATCTCTGGGAAAAATAATACAGAAATAACATGAACCTGTCACATAACCCCATTCCAGAAGTTGAGCCAGCACTAAGAAGGGTATTTTATTTTAAAATCTCCCATTCAAAGTTTTATTCTGAGCAGAACAAATACTGTTTAAACCTCAGTATCATGTGAGTGGAGGAAGAGGAAATTACTCCTTCTACATTCCATGTTCTGCAGGGCTGCATGGAATTCATGCCATTTTTAATCCCATTCTTCTATTTGTAGCTAATAAGGTAGGTATAATTCTCAGTTCTAGAGAAGGTTTTAAACCTTGATTAATTTATGTATACAAAATACTTTGAGATCCTGGAGTGAAAGGAAGTATAGGAAGTAAAAATTAAGGAAAAACAATTCTCATTATTCACATAGAATATTAAATATGTTAGTGATAGGAAAAACTAATGAAAAAAATACCCACTATTTAGAGTCACTTAGTTTATCCTTATATATTATAAGCACTATCAGTATGTCTGAGATCAAGATAAAAAAAGTAATTTAGATATTTTAAAAAGGATACATGCACATATGTGTACATGTTTTTGTAATCTATACATGTGCATTTTTATTACTTGTTTTTGTGGAAATTATTCTTACTAAAGATATACAAACTTTATTTAAAAATTCACAAGCATTTGATTTTCTGTTTCTACTTTGTCTTATCTAAATGTGAGAAACTGGATGTGAGAACTGACAGAAAACCAAAGAAAATTGATTAAGATTTGTCTGTAACAATTGGCTACTGATCTTTGACTGATCCCACTGCTCTTCTTCAATTTGCTTGAGCCACAGAGATGTATAAAACATTGAAAGGAAAATTGTAATGAGTGACTTCGGGGAATTTGTCTAAATTCCTTCCTTATATCTTTCTTTCCGGCCTTCTTTCCTTACTCATTCAAATCATTACATTTCTGTTTCTTTATAGAGCAGTATTGCAAGAGCCTATAAGTTACCACAGGTATGACATAGTGACTGATGGCAAAAACTCATTATGTTGAATGGAGAATCTTGTAAAATCATACCAATAATTATGTGAGAAAATGGATTCTCTGTGTATGAATTATAAGCGTAGTCTACCAGCTGCATTTTATTTTCCAGATTCTATCACAAAATCACAGATATTCTTCATATCCCTTGAAATACACCACTTACTGTTGTGAGTGTCCCATTCAGTGAGATGTAACTCAGTGTTTGAACTGTGAATGTATTGACTCTCTACTTATATTTTAAGACATCTTAAGCTGCTGTAATACTGTGTTATTGTTGTTTTGGAAGTAGCGAATATGGGAGCACAGATAAGGCAGTACACATTTTTTCATTATTTCATCTGAGTTTATTATTTCAGCTGAATTTTCAAAATAATGATTTACAGCATTACAGTCGGGTAGTTTCTGTTTCAATGTACAGAGTGAGGGGTTCCTAAAACAGGAACTGGAAATCATTTATTATTATTATGTAATTATTACATAATTTTGTTCTAAATATTTTATTTTGCAATATAGTCTGAGGCATGAGCCTAAATATTTAATATATTACTCAAGATGTATATGTAGTGAATGTTCTAGTGTATTCTTCATCTAAGGTATCAGCCAAGTTAAAAATTAGAGAAAAATTGTAAAGTAGAACTTACCATAGAAGTTTAGAGCTCAGGGGTTTTAATCAGATTCCCATCCTAATTCCCAATATCAAGTGTACCGTCAGGTATTTTGTTGCTGCAATGAGAAATCATCTGAAGTAAAACATCTTATTGCATTAAAACAATGAAAAAACAGTATCACACCAAAACTGCAAAACACAAACCCCATAAAAATAATTTGCTTAAGAATATTTTTATGTGTAATTATATGATAACTTATGTTAAAAATAAGAAATCATGACATTAGATGGTAGGGATTTTAGTGCATTTTAGTTCTCCAAAGACTTCAAGAAAATTCGATAACTTCAATCTCTCTTTATTTTTATTGCTTTAGACTCTGTCTTTCCAGGATTCTCACAAGTGTCATACTGATTGTTGAATCCAAAGCATCATAACAAAATTTAGAGTTGAGCTTCATTTTTCAGCAGCAATTCTTTGATGAAAGCAAATCAAAATGTAACCATAAAAGGAATGCAACTCTTAAACTTAGGGATCAAGAAATGGTCCATCTTCACAAACTGACCAATTTCTCACGGTATTTATATAAAGGGAGGAAAAACAATCCCCACAGAGCCTACCATCCACAAATTTAAGACCAGCCAGAGCGTGAACCGCTTGTCTCACTTTTGTCTGACTAAGAACACATTGATAGTTCTCATGGTGGCCCTTTCTTATTTCTGTACAGCGGTGGGGGTCATTACGTTCGTAGTTGGATTGAAATGAAGTGGCTCTCATGTTTAAATAAGGGGGTTTAGAAATGGACTATAGGACAAGCAAAGGAGTCCTACGTGTGGCGAACAGCATCACGTTGTACTGCAGAATGCCTGGTGGTCTGCCACGCCTTTTCAGGACTGGATGGTGAAAACAAGTTCAGTATCTTCTTTATGCTTTTACTCGTTTTACTCCCTTATATCAACACTCAAAAAAAGAAAACCCAGCAAAAAAACCCAAAAAAAACCCACATGTGCCATATTTAGCACTCAAAAACCAGGAGGGGAGAATAGATATATTTGTATGATCTCTCACCTTTCTCCTTGTAGCAGAAGCCAGAGCAGGTGTGCAGCTTGCATTATCATCTCTCAGCCTCGCTGTTTACTGGCTGGGTTTGCACTTGGTGACATTATTTGACATCTGACTGCCTGTATGCACATACCTGCAAGCAATATGTGCCTGTGATACATTTTTGACAGTAATAGCCTTCTATTGGTTTATAAAAAAATCAAATGATCTGAAATGAGAAAGTATTTTGTCTCGACGCTGCTGTGCTTGCACAGAGAAGCATCTTGCTGGAAAAGGGAGAGCACGTCTAGTATTTTGAGCCCCCCTGCCGTGTTCCAGTGGTTGTGTGACACAATTGCTGCTGGCAGGGAGCTCGCCAGGAGCAGGGAGGTAAATGGACTATTCTCTATGCGCGCACTTGAAAAAATCAGACAGAATGTTCCTCAAGAAAGCTGGCAATTCAAAGCCTGGAGTTTCTAATGAGCTGTCAGTATATGTAGAACATATGTTTATTCTTGAGGTGATGTGGCATTATCAATGAATGATTGATTTCCAAAACCAACCTGCTTCGAATCTTCAAACCTATAAAGGTCTACACGTTAGGGATGAAAGTGAGTCCGCCAAACAAAGTAGTAGAAGGGGAAATAGCTTTTAAAGAAGTTGAAATTGCTTTTCTGAAAGGAGTGAATTTTTATTTGGAAAATCAAAATAGATACACCATAAAAGTTTGTGCAGTAAAAATGTGCTACTGTTACAGTAAAGGTTGACACATCATAGCCTATTCTTCATGTTCAGCGTAATCTCTTGTGTGAATGCAGGTTTCCAAAAATAAAGAAAAAAAAAATCAATTCATTAAAGTGAACACGTTAGCAAAACAGGGAGTTTTATTCAAAGTTGGGTGATCTGATAGTTTCTTATTCAACTCTTTGTTAAGGTGGGGGGAAGGTGGGAAAGACAATACAAAAGTCCCCTGTCCCAGAGGATTATGGGGTGGTGAATTCTAATTGGGACATAAATCGTGTTTGTGTTATCTGTGGAGACTGGCCTCTGTTTGTTAATTGGCATGCTGAGATCATTTTGAAATGGTTGATATAACACCGTGGTCCATTGAACAGGAAGCTCTGCTGTTTTCACAGTTTGATAATCAATGCATCACTGCACACAATTCCTTTCAAATGTGTGTTTGTTTGTCCTGTTTGCTTAATTGAACAGCTGCAATTACTGTTACATACAACTGAATGTTAATTCATGGAAGAAGAGAATTTTGCTTCTTCATTATAATTTTATGTATAAATTGGAAGCGTATGTAACATTAAGTGTTAATTGAGTGCACAAATTCATAGGTTTAATCAACCAGACATGATAAATCGTATTTTGTACAAAAAAGAATTTATTATTAGCTGAGGTTTTTCTTTTGAATTCAGGATTGCTTTATTAATATACATACACCTCATTGATAAGAACAACTGCTACTTGAAAAGTTGTGGAAGAGGACAGTATTGTCTTGTAAAAACAAATGATGAATACAGCTCATTGCTTTCTCCTGATCTCTGGGACAAATCTCAACAAGTACAATGATAAATTTTGCTTAACGATGCACTGAAATAATTCCTATGTATATAACCCCTTAACTGAACTTACAGCATGATGGTGCTCTTTCAGTTGTTGCTGAATTTTGCAAAATGTTTTGTAAGGTGCTGTAACAATCCAGTTAGAGCATGAGTTTGTGTTTCAGGGTGGTTATGCTGCCTACCGGTATGCCCAGCCTGCCACTGCCACTGCAGCTGCCTACAGTGACAGGTAAGACCTCATTTACTGCTAATAAATATTTGACCAGTGGAAGTTGAAGATGATTCTATAAATTTGCCTTGTTGAAGTCTCATAACTGTCTTGTTGCTCTGCAGATAATTGTGATATCTAAAGCAGGCTGTTTTATTATAATCCATGAATAGCCATAAATTGAGAGATTTTAGGCCTTAATTGAGAATCAGGCATGAGATGTGCTCATTCCCAAGCTGTAGATCATCCAGTTAATGTCTGTGACCCTTGTACAATGTAGATAAATATATGTACAGCTTCATGATGGTCTGCTACTAAAGATCATTATTCGTCTTAGGAGTATTATTTCAGTTGATTTAAAACCTGAACTTATTGAGTGCCCTCAATTCTCATTGACATTGTTTTAGTCAGTGGAAATTGAGAATGAACTGTGTCTAAGCTTGAACTATTCAAGGCAAAACAATATTTTTTCCATTTGCTTTCTTTCCAGCCATATGATTTTTTTTCAATACTGAAAAAAATTCAGTTATTCTTCTTTTGCTCTCTATTTTTATCCTCAAAATGTAAACCACATTTGGTGGAAATAATACCAGGAATAAAAGATTATCAAAATCTGCATAAAAGAAACATGCAAAGACTTAACGTCTGTAAACTAAAAGCAATGTCACATAAATTAACTTTTCCTCTTGCAGGATAAAATTTGGACCCCTTTGAAGTCAATGTCTAAATTGCTATTGACTTCAGTAGGAACAGGATTTTGTCAAATTGCGTAAAATTAAGTCTTTGCAGTGTATGGACATAATTTTGTAAAGAAAAGAAAGAATACCCTATGTTTTCTTCATAAACTGTACCCTTAACGAAATCTATGCTATCTTTAACATTTTTCAAGTGCTTATGTACAGTCTAAAGGGAGGATGTATATTGAGAAAGACAGATACATGCATATATTTTGCTTCACAATAGCAGCGAGAAGTAAGGTCACATTTCTCAATTCCTGATATAAGAAAATTTTCCCTTGGAATCATGGAGATCATTTCTGAAGTCTTGAATATGTGTTGAAAAATTTCTGTAGATGCTAAATTAGACATTGTTTTAAATGTTTCTGTTTCTTAACGAAATCAGCAGATTAAGAAATTTCAGTGAACTATTTCTTAGATTGAAGTGCTGTTCATGGATTCTGTATTTTTAGAACAAAGTACCATGGTATGAATGTTAAAAAGCTATGCATGCATATTTGCCTTTCAAGTGCTTATTCTGGGTAATGAAGGTACATTTTTTAAAGTTATGTGAATTAAGTAATTTGCATGTATGGCTGAGGCATGCTGTGTCAGACAGGTAAGCAAGTTACTTTCTATTAATTTTGGATCAGTGATATCAACTAGATACGTGCTGTATGCACTTTGTTCGCGATGTACTCTTTCTACTTAGGGTAACCTACAAAGGTGAAGTTCTACTCAGTAGTTTCATTTCATTTCCACAAAGGTGTGTTAGCATGTCGCAGCTCTAGTATTTTTCTGTGAGCTATAAAGAAAGCCAGTTCCTGCTTCTGAAAACTTAAACTCAAAGGACAAAATTATAAATAACCTCCCGTGGTTAGTCATTTTTTGCCAGATATCATTCAGGTGTCCCTGCATCATTTTATAGGGTGTTTATTCCTAAGAATAAATGAATTTCTGAAAACCTATACATTACATAGAGAAACTGAACAATATCAAGATGACTTTCAAATGCTTTAATTATGAATTAATGTACCTTCTCATAAAATAAATAAAATGCTGTAAGACAAAACATCAGTGGGTGGCATGTTCTGCTATGGGTAGGGAAACAACATCACTAAGAGTTACGTTGACAAAAAAAGTAAAGGAATTGTCTAAGAAGATACTGCTCTTAAATGCTGTAAAGGAAGCTTGAGATGGCACCAGTAGTAATGCAGTTGTTACAACCCTTAATTTTTTTTTTTAAATGTAATTTTCAGATACACTTTGTGTATAATTAGAATTGTAATAACCTGTCTTTGCTTGCATAATTTTAAATATTTTAAATGAATTTTATCTCTTTTGGATTTTTTTAATTTAGCTTCTCTTCTTAAATGCGGTTAACTCTCATCTTCAATCTGCCTCCCCCAAATGAATATGGTTTCTTGTCTTAATTACAAATACTGTAACTGAATTTCTTTATGGGAGAATCCCAAAACTAGCATAGAGAATAAGACAAATAATAATCTGCTCAAACATTTCTTTGCATATGGGAAATTATGTGCAAACATGGATACCTCTGGTTACTCACAACTACAGTTTGCTTAATTTGATAAACTTTTCATTCATTTTTTAATTAATTCAATTTAGCAACTTTTGTGAATTACTAATATTGAAAGTGCTGAAATACAGTTCAGTACAACTGCTTGTATCTTTTCTTCTCAGTGTAGTAATCATCTGCTGTTCTCTGACAATATTGAATATTCCACATCTCCTTATACACTACTCTTATTTACTGCTGATTTGAGCCCCTATTTAATTTAATTACAAATAAAATATATTTAATTTTAATGTGTAAACAATGCCCAGAAAAATGAAGTGAGGACCAGTGAGTATATACTATTGAAGCAGTGATAGATCATGGAAATATTACTTCATATTAATATAAAAAAAATTTAAAACTTTTTTTTTTTTATCACAGCTCATATACGTGATGAATGGCAGTGTTCCATATTTGACATGCTTCTTAAGTCAGGAGATGGAAAGAGGAAATCTTTAGATTGGAGACATGTTGTGGTAAATTAAAAATAAAGGTTAACAGAAAGATTTGGGACTCTGGAATCAATACACGAAGTCAATAGATAATGATCACTGTAAGAGAGCTCTATTGTGAAGAAATGCAATGGTATCCTTGTTTGTCACAGCTGGAAATATTGCTGGAAATAGGCAAAGAACGGATATATAGAAGAGAATCAGATGGCAAGGAAATCTCATGAAACAAATCAACAGAAACCCCTAAGTATGTGCTAAGACAAATCTTGTACTCCTAGAAACATTTCACAACAGAGGTAGACCTTGCAGATTTCTCCAGTCATTTCTTAGATTTGTAAAACAAAACCAAACAGGTATTTTTTTTTATTATTTATGAAGCAATATAATCACTAAATACAAGTCTAAAAAAAATTTAGAATTGGATTTTTATACTTTATGCTTTATTATACTAAATTGCATTTTAAGATTTGAAACTCTTTGCAGGGGTGGACCAAAACCCTCATTTTTGACTTTTGAATATTTAAAATATTTCTTTTTCCAATTCATGTAACTGATAAAAGGGGACCTACTGGTCTATATATGTTCTTCACCATTCTGGAGCTTTGCCTGCCAAACTCTTTAAACTGAAAATGTTTGGGAAAAATAATGGTAAAGATGTGCAAGAGACACTAAATCAGATGTTAATAAAATGTTCATACAGCATTTATTCAGCTTTCATGTAGTATTTAAAAATAAATAAATAAATAAATAAAGTTGTTAGATTTCTGTCCAAGTCTGAAGTAAGAGAAGCTAGCAAAGTCATAAGTTTTATATTTATGAGCTAGAACAAGTCAAAGCATGGCAGTGGGGCGTATTGTCATTTTGTCATTGCATGTTCACTTGATGTTGCTAGTATGTTTGTAACGCTGTATTGGATTTGACAGATCCATCACATAGCTCAGTGAATGGCTTGCTTGAATTAAGCCTATGGGCAGACTTTTTCACATTGATTGGCTATTGGTTTTGTGTTTTATGATTTGATTATTGCATCTTCGATCGGAGTAAGAAAAATGTTCCATTCTTGCATATTAAATTTGTCAGCAATATTTATGAAAGTGTCTGTGGTAGTGTAATAAAACAAAACCCCAATAACCGTAAACTAGCCTTGTCTGAAAGGCAGTCATTTCACTTGTACTGCTTGCTAACCCTGTTATACTTAATAATGATAATGATGTGTGTTTATATATGTACGATTGTGTATTCATATATATACACACATTCCCCATCCATCACCCACCACACGCACCCACCCACACGTGCACCTGCACACACGTGTGCACACACACATATACATACGTATGTACAGAGGTATTTTGTTCTGAGCGTAATTCCCTTTTTTGAATACAGTGTCATATTTAAATCTCACTACAAACAATGGTAAGATTCCCATTGACTTCTTTGCTGTCTGGATTAGATTCCTCATCACTGGAAGCTGAACTCTTTTGGTTTTTTTTCACTAACCTTTTTTTAAAAGAAAATAAGGCACGTTCCAAAATATTTTGTACATAACACTGTGTAGTATAAAATATTTAAATTTTTTTTCACTTTCAGTTTGTGCTACATGTTCTGTGGTCATACGTAGGATCTTGTATGAAATTTGAGACAGGAGATTATTTTGTTATATGGAAATTGTGGATCTTCCAGATCTGAAATCTTACTCCCATTAAAATCCTGATATTCTAATAGTTTACATTTTTAGCATGCCTATGTGGAGTATTAATTTTTGTCAAAGTATTAGTGTCTACAAAGTTATAATTTATTGTGTTTTCCAGTTCTCTTTGGGCAAGTAGTTCAGAGTAATACTTAATATTTGTGGTCAGATGATCCTAAAATAAAATAGATACAGATTTTATTTAATTGGAAACATGCTCATTAATCTAGTTAAAAATTAGAATGAACTATAAAAATACTCAAACTATAAAATGTGAACTTCTGTAGATGGAGGTGATATTTTTATATGTTGTAGAGTTTAAGATCTTCTATTTTATGAATAAACAATGTAACCCACTGTAGGTTTTTTTTCCTCTTACTGAGGATCTTACTAGTGATATATACTAAAAAGTAAGGTTTTTGAGAGCATATAAAATGTAATAGAATATTCAGTCAGAATTTAATTTTCCATTAAATAATTTTATAGAAGGATAAATATCTTAAAATGTAATACTTCATGCATTTCATGGTTGTGCTTTCTAAGATTTAGGAAAAGGAGTTTCTAGACACTGTTTGAACTCCTAA